ATATCAATGATATGTTGCATAATAATAACATTCATTCTTATGCAGACGACAGCACTGGCGATGATATATATACCGGCCGTGCTATTATTTCTTGTGTCTGAAGTCATGTCTTTCTAATTCTAGTTCAGATTAACCTCCAAAAGATACAGATTCACGAATTTACCGCAAAAAAGAACCACTTTGTCGTATCTTCTGAATTTCAGGACACTCTCCTCGTTGCCTCAGCCAGCATCGGGATCCTTGGAGTCGACATTTCGTGGTCAGTAGATCGAGACGGTATTTCACACCGGCCCGGTTTGCAGATTTACAAAGCGCAGGTTCCGCCTCATATGGAATACTGTTGTAATCTCTGGGCCGGGGCACCCCAGTATCAGCTCCTTCCACTTGACCGTATTCAACGGAGAGCGGCCTGAATTGTCGACAACCAAGTTCTTTCCAAACGAACTGATCCACTGGACTTGCGAAGAGACGTTGCATCTCTATGCATCTTCTACGGCATAAACCACGGGAAGTGCTCAGATCAATTGTTCGGATTAATTCCAGCTGCGGAATTCCACCATCTTACACTGCAACAAACTCGAAATCCCATCACCGTCATCTCGATGGCTGGTGGTCCACTGCTGTGCAATTTACGAGGAGTTTCTGCCTAGCACGACCATACTGTGGAATTTACTGCCCCCAGCAGTTTTTCCGGACCGATATGACTTAGGGACCTTCAATTTACTCTTTTTTTATAAGGCCGGCAACGCACCTGCAATTCCCCTGGTGTGGCGCATGTTCATGGGCGACGGTGATTACTTACCATCAGGTGAGTCACACATATTTCTTTTTTCGTTTAAAAATTTCCCCGCGCGCCTCTTTGTAATCTTATGCCCCTAGCCACGCGCCTAGTTTGCCTTTAGGATAATCCGCCACTGGGAACGCCTGCGTATGGCTACTCCCGTCCAGAGTCCCGTATTACTCGTCAATAGAAATGTGTAGATGCTCGTACATCACAAAATTTTTGAATCATGTTTTTTTTTAATTTCACTTTGCATGGAAGAATTAATTACTTACCAGCTTACCACTTCGTAGAAAAGTGACTGGTTATCAAAATCGGCGTTTAACTATGTTCTTTGCAAGATTTGGCTACAGTACCAGAAATCTATAGACTGCTCATTTATCGCCAATGAGGGCATCCATCCATTGGAGAACAGTTATACCCCGTTGATTCTCCATAGCTATGGATTCGCCTTTTTCCAGTTTGGCGTAGACTACTGCCATTGGCAAACCCCTTCTATTCTTTCTAATTGTTCCAATTAGGTGGGTGTCGTGGTTCAGTACTTGATTTGCCAAGTCCAAATTGGTATACCAATTGTCGGTGGCAATTGTATGACCCAAATTTAATATGTCATCACAGAGAGACATTACAACATTTGTAGGTGTTGTGTTAACCATTTCATCATTTTTACCAGCATGTAGTTGTAACTTACAGGTGTATCCCGGAAGGGTACAAAGCTTAAACATTTTCATGCCATATTTGTGTCGTTTACTTTTATTATACTGGAGGAAAATTATGCGCCCTCTAAATGCTACTTGGCTTTCATCGACACATACGGTTTCATTTGGGGCGTACAATTTTTTAAAATTTTCGTTCAAAGCATTGACGAGGGGTCGAATTTTAAAAATTCTGTCGGATTTGTCCGCTGTCTCATTATCAGTGAAGTGTTCTCAAAAGCAATTCAATTCCTGTTCAGCAAATTAGGTTCCTGCTCATAACAGTGGCTGGAAAATGTTGCCCGAACACCCTGTCTTTACTCCAGTATAAATTTATTTGAGGAAGTTTCACCAGTCACATGTACAGGATTAACCGAAATAATTGTTTAATCTCATCTTTTGATGTCGGTTTCCATTCATTTGCACGGGACTTAGGTTTTAAGGTTTTTGATAGTGATTGCTGTGCAAACAAATTTGTTTCGTTCGCAATCGTCACAAAAAGACTGTCTGGGACCAAAACACTGAAATATTCTCCCGCTGCACTATTTTTCAATTCTCTCGCATATGGTTGCTTCATACCTGTAAGCAAGAAATAAATAATATGAGGCCAGGCAACTGGCCCCAAAATAAAATTTTCGCGAGATAATCACAGACAGACATACTACATACAGGTCAAATTGAGAACCTTTTTTGAAGAACCTTGGTTCCGTGAATGCTATGACGGATGGTTGATGTCCTCGTGGTCGTGTCCATTTTTGTACTGAATTAGATGTTTTTTCTATACGAGCAATTTGATTAGAGATATAATTTTCAACCGACCCCGATTCACTTTCGGAGCTACTTGCAATAACACGACGGTAACGTTTTTTTGTTGGTAGGATAGCATCGTTACTAATTTCTTCCTCGGATAAATTGCGTATCTCACTAAAAATACTAGATTCTAGTGCTTCAATATGTTGTAAGTCGTCTTGAGAAATATCTAAGTCAAAGTCTAGATCGGATATATCCATTTCAGTAAATAAAAACGTTCACAGACACAAACTCAATTGTTCGGCGCAAGCGCTTACAGACGACTGATGTGTGGGGGTGACCGGAGGCGTACCCTACACGGCGCCTCCATAACGAATATTCACTTTTAAGTATTACAGCGCCGCGTAGGTCAATTATGACTTCACGAAGTTTTATTGAAATATCTACGGAATCCAGTTGCAGATCAAAACACTTCACATATAAAAATGTATATTTTGACCTAACGCTTATGTTTCCACCAAAAAGTTTTTTTGTTTTTCATCTTTTATACTATTGGCAGAGAACGTGTTAATAATATCCGTTCGTCCGTTATATTCAGTGCCACATTGCTTGTTTTGGTCCGCTCCGGTGCATGTGTGTAATGTGAGAAAAAGTCATAGTCAAGTGTTAAAACTACATGTGAATTGGAATTCATTATTTTCATATTATAGAGTTGTGATAAATTCACGACTATCTGAGATAGCTGTTACTCTGTCGCTGGTTTGTGTGAAAGGTACGCGCGTCCACGTGGTCATTAAAACTTGGCCTTATTATCTACGTGTTACTCACAAACTATATTTGTAGTAATCTATTGTTTACTAATGAATTATTATAATGATTCCTCATATTTACACGAAGACTACACATTAAATGAAAGTATTTTTACGGATTCTATCGCATTTAATTTAACTTTTTAATTCCCGACGTTTCGGGTGCTTTACAGCACCCATGGTCACTGAGTCAGACTGAGGTGTTTGACGTCCCAATGTCATAGTTAGCCCGGCTACCTATAGTTTTTGAATATTAATTTTTGGTCAGACCTACGCAGAATGAGCTTATAGTATTTTGAGGTCTTGCAGTGGTATGCGCTTGGGTTTGGATTTAATTTTATTAATTATAGGATCCCAAGCAGAGGGCAGCACCCATCCATCTTCTCTATTGAAATTAGGATGATTTTTAATTTCAATAGACTCGCGGATCATCCTTGGTAGGAATCGGTGTTCTTTTGCGAGGATTTGTGGTCTATCAAATCTAATGTAATGGCGGGGACGATCATGAATATGTTTGGAAGTCTGCAGTCTGTGAACATATGTCTTAATCGTCCAAACGCTGCCCAGCCGAGTTGGATCCGTCGATATGTCCCAGGTAAACGTACTTTCTAACAATATGCCTTTTTACTGGAAACGTGGCAATCCATCTTTGTCCTTAGGGGTGTCTCAACCGATGATAGATGGACTTTTCTCGTTTGTCATCCTTATTCTATAATAAATAAGACATAAATCCGAAAAACATTACCCTCTTTTAGTGGCGATCGGGTGATAATTGACATATATTCATTTTTGGCCAGATTATTTTTTTATTGTCACTTTACCATAAACACATGTCAAGGTTTTAATCATGGTCATTGGAGAATTGCTACTATTACTTCACCGTAGAACACAGCAACTGCCATAGCAATGGCAATATTAGCAATAGCAGTTGCGCGCATGACCACTAGACTAAGACTGTCTTGTTGGTCTAGGTGTTCGAATCGTGAGTTAGGCTAAAATAAGTTATTGGGTTTTTCTGTGAAGACATTTCCAATACCAGCCCGGAGTCAGGAAGGGAAGTGTTTCACCTCCGTGTCTCGGAAAGCACCTGAAGTCGTTGTTTTTGCACTTGATCTCTGGTCGTGTCGAATCCGTTCAAACGCCAACGTTCGCGTGTTTGCAGTTCGTAGTTCATTATCTAAACTAACAAATGAGGCTCTTCGATAAATAGTTACTCATTAGATGATGCCAAAGTGAAATCAAAACACCACAGATTAGCGTGGTATAGTGCCGGTAGGTAAATCTTATAAGCAGCATTTTTGAGCTATTATCACATGTGCGCCGGTTGTAGCACGAATGGTTCGGCTGAACCGGGGTGGGACCACGCTCTCACAGAATACCAGCGTAAAATAGAAGCTTAATGCTGCTGTTTTGCGCATGGTGAGTGTAGAGAACCGGAGATCCTTATTACTGGAAACAAGGTATTCCATCTTAGTCCCCCGGGGTGACAACGCATCTGCATTTTGATTCTTAATCGAGAATAAATGTCACCCTTATTACAGTCGAACTCTGTACTCTGTAAGTCGCACTTTAAGGTAGACGCCGAAAAATTCGGGTTATAGAGTTTAAAACTTATGAAGGGCTTCGACTTAGGGTGGATTCGACCAAATGCCGTGTTACTCCAGAGTAACTAACCCTCGAATAATTTTACTCTTTGCTCTTACTCTCGGATAACTTCGTTTGCGTTTTTCCAACACAAACGTAGAGTAGCTAATACTGGGTATTGTTACTCTAGAGTTGGTGAATGAAAAATGAATGAACATGTAAGCCAACTAAAATCGAAATACAATGGTTTATATAGCGCAATGCAAGATGTTCTGTCCACTTAGTTTTGCCGGATTATAATAGTGTCAACTGTCACTGAACACTAGAATAAACACGAGTCGAGTTGTCAGTTGATTTCTTATTCTTACCTTTTGAAATAAAATGTCTGCAGAAAAAAGAAAACGTAGCCCAAATTGGTTATCTTCAGAAAAAAATTTATTGTTAGAATTAGTAGAAAAACATTTTCGTGTCATTGAAAACAAGAAAACAGACGGGGTTACGATGAAGCAAAAATTGTCCGAATGGCAAATTATATCCCACGAATATAATAGTCAAACGACACACTGCTCGCGTACAGCAGAAAATTTAAAAAATGAGTGGGAATATATGAAAAAAAAGGCCAAAAAGGAAGAGTCATACAAGAGGATGCATAGAATCCAAACAGGTTAGTTTTTATCATACCTTACGTTATCATTATTCGTGTTGATCCAGTTATTTATATAACTAGGCAAAAACCTATAATTTCAAAAGAAATTCGGTATACATTAGAAAGATGATCTTGTAACTGGGGGAGCAACAGACTGAGCCATGCCTACATACATTTATATATTGTTAGTCACTACTGGAAACATGCTTATCGCAAAGATCTTTAGGTCATGTATCATTATTATTAAATACTTGGTAGTAAAATGAAGTGTCCTGATGAAGTGATTTATTTTCTTGGTCTCGTCTATTTTCGGATTATTTTAGTTGAAATATTTTTAGAACCAACACTACTGAGATGACATACTTTAAATACTTTTACTTTAATCATTTTGTACTATTTTTAGGTGGAGGACCAGCAAATCCCAAAAAAGAAGATCCTCTTGATTCAAAAATATTATCTTTGATAAAAACAAGTGCTGTTGGGCTTTTTAACCGTTTTGACAGTGATAGCGTTGCCCCAGAAAGCTTAGAAAGCCATAATTTTTCTGAGGTTCAAGTTATTTTATCTGAGGAGCCAGAATTATGTAGTAAAGGTTAGTATCTTGCAGTTTAGTTAAGCATCCTAGAGAAACTAAACAAAATTGTTATGACTTCTTCTTAAAAAACATTAATATTTGGTTACAGATCTTGAAACTGACACTGATGAGATTCAAAAGACTGGGATTGACTTGAATGAAGTAGAAATGCAGGTAAAATCATAACACATTAATAATATCTGTAGCCCTATACCTTTACCTGAAGTAAATTATAGTATATAGTAAATATAAACATAAGTTTTATAACTCTACTACTATGTGTACGTGGTAGAGCCATGCTGCAGCTATATTAATAGTATAGTTGTAGCACGAATGGGTCGGCTCGACCGGGGAAGGACTACACTCTCACAGAATACCAGCGTAAAATAGCAGCTTAATGCTGCTGTTTTTCGTATGGTGAGTGTAGAGAATCGGAGACCTTTTTTACTGGAAAAGAGGCATTCTATCATAGTCCTCACGGCTGACAATGCATCTACATTTTAATTTGCAAACGAAGATAGATGTAGAATTTTTTTTATTTAATAGGGGGCATACAAGCATGTAACTCACCTGATGGTAAGCGTTGCCCATGAACAACTGCAATACCAGAGGAATTGCAGATGCATTGTGGGCCTTTTAAAACGGATTGGCCCTCTGGCCTCCTGCACTAACCAAGCTCTACGCAGAAGCAAAGCTTCTACTTCAGGCTGGTATTCTGTAAAGTCATGGTAGTTATATGGTTCGAGCCGGCCCATCCATGCAACAGCAGAAGCTGCAGTTTCGCTCTACTACTGTGTGATAAAATATAATATTGGCATTATATTATTTACATTTTTATTCTTTGTTTTAGGATTGGAGTGATTATACTCCTAAAATGTTAAGAACTCCTGTTGCTACACCACTTCAATACGATACTAATGAGCAAGAAGGAAAATTAAAAAAATCTTGGTCTTCAAGAAGGCGACCGACATATGTAGCTTCAACATCATCACTGCAAAAGTTGCATGAGAAGAAAATTGAAGCAATTGATCTCCAGAAGAGTGTTGCTGAGAAGGAATCACTACATTTAAACGCAGTTAACGATCTGGACTTACAAATAAAAAGGGAGCAATTGAAACAAGAAAAATTAAAGACCCGTATTTTATTATTAGATTTAAGATTAAAGAAAAAGCAATTGCGAAAAGACCAATAAAATATTAGACTTATTTATTTCAACTTTTATTTTATACTACTTTTCTTTTTTTATAATTTGTATAATATAAAATTAGATTTGGAATCACAGCGATCAACTGGCTAGATTCCATAGCTACAATAAACTATAAAAATAATTACTTATTAACGAATTGCGTGCTAACTGGCCAGTAGAATGCTGTGCTGATTCCAAGCTCTGCATTTGGCCAAGTTGTAACAGTTCATCCCATGGAGCTGGTAATAGCACTTCTGGGTCATCAGGTGGAAGTTGTTCCCCTTGCCTGCGTAACATATTGTGAAGGACAGCTGTGGCTATGATAATAGTTAGTGCTTTTTCTAATTTTACTCGCATGCCAAGTGCCAATACTGGGAATCGTCTTTTCCATACACCATAGGTCCTTTCTATAGCATTCCTGGTACGAATTTGTGATTCATTGTACAGTTGCTCAGCTGGTGTCCTTGGATTTTCTAACGGAGTCATGGTATAATTCTTTGCAGCATATCCTCTGTCTACCAATAATAACGCATTGCCATAGCGACCAGTCTCAAAATGTGCTTTCCGCACGCTGTTATTAAATATAGTGCTGTCATGAGTTGAACCTGGCCATCTTGCGACTATGTCGGTTATTTCTAAATTGGCATTGCATATAGTTTGCACATTAATAGAGTAGTATCCTTTTCGGTTTCTAAATGTCTCTGCTTGTTCTCCACCTACTTCGAGTCTTAAGGGTACGAATGTGAGGCGAATGTGTGTACAGTCCATTGCTCCAACTACTCTTGGAAAACGAGCAATTTGGTAAAATTTATCTTGTTCGTGTCTTATTTCTTGAGTTGATTCAGGAAATTTTATGTACTCTGTATGCAATGCAGCAATTGCAGCACTAACTCTGTGTACAATTTTATTTGCTGTCGGCGTACTTAAACCACAGTAATCTCCAATGCTTGTTTGTGTCCAGTTTGTTGCATAATATCTCAAAGTGGCCAACAACTGATTTACTGGAGATATTGAGAAATTTCTGAAAGAAAAGGAACTTTATGTAACATAGGTACAACTACTACTATAGAATATATTTTAGTTTTAAATCTTTGAGCATAGTTTTTCGAAAAAATATATCTAGGTATAGGTGGGTACATACCGGTTTGATGAATATTCCAGGTGATGCTCGATTTTGGATAAAAGACACAAAGTAGCTTCTTTGGACAATCGAAACCTTATTGCAAAGTCACGGTCGTCATAGTTATCGAAGTAATTGTTCCTTTCTCTAATCCATCGTGGACGCCTTGGAATGTATTCTTCATCACTGTCTGAATCTTCGATCATATTTCGTAAACGTTGCATTATTTAAAAAAATATCCCTACAATTATCACAAAAATACAAGAAATAGTAAATACACAACGATAAAATACCCTACTTTTTACTAAATTATATAAATGCACAACGATAAAATATCCTACTTTTTCAACAGAGCACACAAAAACAGCTGTTATAATGTAGCGGCCGCCATTAAAATACACTGGGATAAATTGTTTACTCGACAAATTTTGGCGGTATAGCAATTTACTCTCGGATAACCAGTTATACCTGGGTTAAGATTTGGTAAAACGAAAGTTCTCTAACTCGAGAGTAATTAGTGATTTTATTCTCAGGATAAGACTTATACTAAGTTTGGTCGAATCCGCCCTTAAGCGGATTTTGTAAGGAAATATTCGACTCGTAGAGGTTTAGATTAATTCTAACTGAGTATGATTTCGAGAGCTGAAATAAATAAAAATTCATAAAAGGTATAAACATATTTATTTTCAATTTAAAAGTTAGGTCACATATGTACTACATATTAAAAAAATCAACGTCATTTCAAAACATTCTTAAAATACAAAATGTTAAAAGAAGTCAGTTATTTATTTTTGTTATTGATAATTAGGATGTCTAGTATATAACATTATCTAAGGTACAAAGAGTAGAAAATTCTTTATCTTCCGAGTTGCTGGTTTGCTCTATAACATTCCGTAAAGTATTTAATGTTGATCTTGCCTCTGATGGAAACCCATGGAGCGCATGTTGCATTATTGGAGTCGTATATCTCATTTAAATCATTACTTTCGGTTTTTTGAGCAACTGAATCGATAATATCTTTATTAGAAAATGTCCCAGCAGTGATAACTCCATCATCACATGTAACAAAGTCCTCAAATATTTATTCCTATTTCAGTTATCACTGTACTCCATTCTGCATGAAGCTGGATAGAAATATCTTCGGCTTCAGCTTCTTCTGCTGATGATAATGAAAAACCACACTGAACATAACAGATTTTTATAGTAGTCGCAGTTATATTTCGCTCATGGCTTACTATACGTCTATAGTAAAACTTTTTTCTTCCATATTATCCAACATATTCCTGATTACTTGTTTTCGGTAAAATGACTGGAAGTTATCAATGATGCCTTTATTCATGTGGTGTAATTTTGATGTGGTGTGGGTGGCAGACATTGAATTTTAACTGCTTTCATTTATGGAATATAATTTTATATAATATAAAAAAATAATATAAAAATAATAGAATTTTCTTTTTTCTTTAGCCATTTTCTTATCAATATATATGACCCATTTTTTGAAAATTCCAGAAGTCATCCATGTTTTTATATTTGCTTTATATTTCAAAGGTAGCAATTTACATCTTAAAAAACAACGAGGATTTTTTAGCTTTCCCTGTGACGCAATGGCCAGGGGTTTGTTCTTACATTGTTTTCTAAGAAACAATGACGTAAATTGTCGGCAAATTTTTAAAGTCGGCATTTGAAAGCTGGTGCTTCACATGTGGTCCCATATAAAATTGATCAAGTTCTGACCAATAGTTTTTGAGTTATTCTTAATAATTTATATTGAAGCCGATTGTACAAAATTTTTAATTTTAAATTATCTTTTGTAAAGTCGAGGCGTTTTAAATAAATTGCAAATGGAGAAATATCTAGACCCGAAAGAATTATTTGCAGAATATACAAACACTTGTTCCATATGGAATTGCAAACCCGCAGCTATGCAGCCAAACATTATTACAAAGATTTTGGTTTTGGGTAATCACGAAGTTATCCTTAGATGATGCATCTTATGTTTTGGTTTTGAAAATTTTGAGTAGTTTTTACGTCGCATGGCACTTGATTTAATACTCTTTCCTTTAGTCGACTTTGTCATGAATTGAAGGTTTTTTCCGATACAATGCTTAGACCAAAGAGATTTAAATATATAGGTATGCTTTGACACTACTTTACAATAGTAAAGACTGTCCTTATTTCTTTTTATTTACGTTTTACACGATTGTGGAAGTGAAGGTATATGATTTTCACATTTTTAGTGTCATTTAGAACGTTTAAACTTGCGCATTGCTTTGCAACAGAATTCTTAAGCTGTTTGTGCCTCTTCTTTTTTAACCCTCGACGCAAAAAAAGGGGTGTTATAAGTTTGACCGCTATGTGTGTGTGTGTGGAACTGTAGCTCTTAAACGGGTGAACCGATTTGGGTGCCGCTTTTTTATTTAAAAGCAGGGTTTCTAGCGGTGGTTCTTAGATATGTTTGTCAAAATCGGATCAGACGTTTCAAGGTCATCAGCTGTTTTACTAGCTATGGTAGAGTTCTCTCCGGGGTTTTTAAAAATGGAAAAATGGCCTCACTTTCCTTCTAAAACACAGTAGAGTACACGGCGGGTAAAATTATTCTAACCAAAAAGATTGTCTATAAACTTATCTAGTTTATATAAGAATTACTTATCCTTGCTTAATTCTTGATCTTATTTCGAAGCTACTGTCATTGACTCATTGACAGTGTCAGAGACGTTCTGGATTCTAATTTCGGCGAAATTATGTCACCAATTTTAATTATTTTCTTCTAGGGTGGCTATGTTATGCTGCGCGTGTACTTGTGTGTCCTTCACTCGATCGTACTGGAATAGTCATGTTCATTGTTGACTATAGCTACAATATATAACGCAATTGTGGATCTTTCTCGAAAAAAAAAGCCGCTCTTCTCTTTTTCTGAAGAATTTTAAGATAAAGTGTCCCTCTAATTTATATGTACTGTTGGCTTATACTATGATGATGTATGTGGTTCTATTTAGTTTCTAAACATATTTCTTATTGGCCTCTTGTCGACATTTCCTTAAAGAGAGCTCTTTAAGGAATAGTTGACAATTCCCACGAGTAAATATGAAGGTAATTAGTATCAAAGTTAAGAAGTAACGAATGTTTTATACTTTAATTATTTTTTCATCTTCAGCATCAACAGCTTTTTCAGTCCGATGGATTTTAATAGGCCTGTATGGACATGTCCTAACTATTATTGACACACTTACATCCCAACTCTTCCAAGATATCTACTATTTAAATATCGCTTAGTTTATGACTTTTTTTTTATAGAATAAGGGTGACAAAGTATATATAAAAAATAAACATTTACATTTATCCTCGATTAAGAATTAATATGCATATGCGTTGTCACCCCCTAGGACTAAGATGGAATGACTCGTATCCAGTAAAAAGGGTCTCCAGTTCTCTACACTCACCAAACGAAACACAGCAGCATTAAACTGCTATTTTACACTGTTATTTTGTGAGAGCGTAGTCCTTCCCGGTTGAGCAGACCCATTCGTGCTACCCCCATAATAGAGCTGCAGCGTGGCTCTACCACCTAATAAAACTTATCGGATTAGCAAAGAGAATTAATGCAAGTGAGTACTTGCACGATTGTCTCAGGACTTTTCAGCCAGAACAGAAAAATTCTTTAAGTAATGTCTAAAAATATATAACATTACTTTAATTTTAAATTCTGATATTAGAATGAGATTTAATCTTTAATAGGGGTCTCAAGTCTTTTGTAGTGTAAATAGTCTTAATCAAGAAAATCTTATTTGTGTTAGTAAATATGATAACTGACCTTACTACTGACGTATTGCTTGAAAACCTCTATTATTAAACGTCGATTCGTTTGGAAATAAATGAAAGCAGTGTT